ATGAAGAAATTAAAATAATAATAATTAACATTTCATAAAGTATTTCAAATAAAATAAATAACAATCAAAAGAATGAGGACCAAATTTGATAGAAAAAAATTTCAATAAAAAATAATAAGAGAAAAGCAAATAACAATTATAAAAATGAGGACCAAAGTTAATATAAAAATTAAATTTTAAGAAATTAAATTGAAAAATAAATATTCAAAATAAAATATATATAGCAATCAAAAGTTTGAGGATCAAATTTGAAATAATCAGCAAATAAAGACATTTCTAAATTTTTCACAACTTTCGAAAAGTATTTTCCTTCCATATTTTTTAGGAAAACAATTTTCTAAAAATCAAGTTAAATTTTTCTTTGACTGGAAAGTGTTTTTTATTTACCAACTTTTCTAACAGCAAACAAACACAAGAAAGTTTAGAAAGTAATTTTTGTCAAAAACTATTTTTTGAAAAATAAACACAAGAAAGTTTGGAAAGTGTTTTCCCAGAAACCACTTTCCGGAAAACAAACACAGCTAGAAAGAAAAACACTTTCCTGAAAACTAAGGTAATTTTTTTTTACTAAAAAATATTTTCGTTGACCAGAAGTGTTTTCCATTGACTGGAAAATGTTTTTTGTTGACCAGAAAATGTTTTTCAATGACCACCTTTCTTAATAACAAACAAACACAGGAAAATTTAAAAAATAGTTTTCCATAAACTGTTTTTCAAGAAACAAATATAACTTAAAATAAAGTCAAGATTTTCAATTAGTAGCACGGTGAATCCCATTCTCTTAAGTCAAGGTTTTTCATATTCAAGTATTATTTAGAAATATATTAAAATAATATTAAAATTTATATTTATATTTTAAAATTTATTTTTAATATAAATGTATAAAAAAATAAAAATAAAAAACTAAAAATATTTAATTTAAAACAAAAACAATATTTCAAAATTTGTAAAAATCACGGTTGAATCACGAAAACAAAAAATCTTTTAATATAGTAGCTTGAATTCTATACAGATTAAGGATTTACCAGCTTTCCTATTGCTGGTATTTATGTTTGTTCTTTGAGAATAAACTCTTCTATATTTTTCTCTCGCAAGATTATTTACTTGAATTTCCTTTGATCAGTATTCCTTGAGTCAATTTTGTTTGTCTGATAATGCACCGCAGAGCTTTATTGACAGCGAACCCAATTCTCAACCCATCAGCGTTTAATTTGGTGGATTCTTCGGGAAGGTAAAGCGAGTTCTGCAATCATTATTTATTTAGCTCGCGTTTCGCTGATGACATAACATAAAAAGAGTAATCATTGCAAAGGTGTTTTTCCAATAATAGCAAAGAGGTAGTTTCAAAACGCTATCTCATTGTTTCATCACCGGAGCCCTGCCCTCGGCGTCCCTTCTCCGCCAACGATACCTGCCTCAGAGAGTCACCTTGCAAGGCCATTTTCTATCTCTTTATAGACGTATGATCCGCTTCTTGAGCAGCTAAAATATTGGCTAAATTGCTGTCTTTCACAGTCATGCTTTCCTTCACGTTTTTCTCCGTTTACCGGCGTCTTCTGTTCTGTCTTTGATTTTGCCCCTCTTGTTTGCTTATTTAAGGTTATTGCTCAACATTATCTTGTTTATTCATCCTCATTGGCTTGTTGATTAATTAATAAAGTGTACTTTGTTTTACTCCGACTTGTGGGATCATGATTTCCCCTTTCGCAAGTTGCTCCAAGATAACTTGCAACTAGACGTTTGATGTTTACAGAATTGCCACTGCCACCTTCATCTATGATGTTCTTCAACTCAGTTTACTCCCCTTTTGTTTTCTTTGTACATGAATAGGAATCATAATGCTTTTCCACCAGTACTTAAGTTTATTTATATTTATATCTTATTCGTATGTACACGTCATATATCTTATTCATATATATATATATGAAGTGTACCATACACAATTTTGGATTGAAAAAATGTCATGCGCATATATTTATATATAAAAATATATATATTTTAAACATATATATTTATATATAGAAATATATATTTTTTAAATTATATTTAGGTCAGATTTGATAATATTTGTATCTTATCTATTATCTATCAAATAAAATAACTATACATGAAAGAAAATCATTTGAGATGACTGAGTGTAGTTCAATGAAATTGTAATCTCTATATATAAAATGCAATAGCTACATAGAATAGCAGAAATTTTATGGGCCATCCAATAAACGGTTGAATTTAATTACTTGGCATATAACTTTTGAATTGACAGCGAAAATTGGTGAAATTTTCATGAATAATTTTTCAATATGGCACATTGAAGTTAGTGAAGACGGTGAGAATTGTAGACCATAGCTGGATTCGTTTGAATATTCATCATTTCTCGTCAGTTGACCACCACATCAATAATGTTTTTTCTTTTTGTTGATTTTTATTTTCCAAATGTCCGCCGAACTTTTTGTATAGAAATCATTCAGATATTGAAGTCTACGGCGGACAAAGCATGAAGCCACTGTGTCTGACTTTGCCCCACCTCTTCATTTCTTTCCACCGATCATTGTATAGTGGAAGCACAAAATATCTTGTTGAATATTATTACCAGACCCACTATTACCAGACCCATTAAGGCATGTAGCTCACTACACCTATTTAAATCCTCTGTTTTCTTCCTTCTCCAAGCCAGTACCATCTTCCTTTACTTATCTTCACCATGGCCAAAATCCTCCAAAACCTCACTTCCAGCTTCCTCATTCTCTCAGTAGTTCTCTCATTCTTGATCATTGCCAATGCAAAATCTCAACGTTTCACCAGATACTTATCACCCGCAACACTAGGCCTCAAGAAAGAGAAACTAAGCCACCTTCACTTCTATTTCCATGACATAGTTAGTGGAAAAAATCCCACTGCGGTCCGAATAGCCCGTGCAGACATGACAAACACATCTTCAACAGGATTTGGAATGGTGGCGATGATTGATGACCCCTTGACCATGACGCCTGAACTCAGCTCCAAGCTTGTAGGAAGAGCACAAGGGATTTATGCATCAGCTTCTCAAAATGATATTGGTTTGTTAATGACTATGAATTTTGTTTTCATGGAAGGGAAGTACAATGGAAGCACTCTCAGTGTTTTGGGACGTAATAGTGTGCTCTCCACTGTTAGAGAGATGCCGATTGTCGGTGGAAGTGGCCTTTTCCGATTTGCACGGGGCTATGCTCAGGCCAGTACTCACATGTTTGATAGTACAACCGGTGATGCTGTTGTGGAGTACAATGTCTATGTCTTTCATTATTAAGTGCCTTCTAGCTGCTGAGGATTCCCTTTTTTTCACTCAGACTTTGCTAGAACTTAGAAAGTGATTAATAAAAGAAAAACTGCTATCACCTATAGATGGTCTAGACAGAGATTTGCTGACAACTTTTTTTCCCCATATCACTAGCTATTGTTTTGGTTTCTTTACAGTTATTTGATATGTAAGTTGATTTGTAATTCTTGTCTGAGTATTTTTCAAGCATCTAATGATATATCCTCCTTAATCCAAGATGTTCTCGATAATTGTGCCTATGTGCATCGTGCTCTCAACTTTATTCACATCATATGTTCTTTTCAAAAACGAATTAATTGACATAAGTTGCCCTCCGAAAGTGAAAAGGTTGGCCAAATGCCAAGCACATCACAGTGAATTAATTGGTGATTAATTAGGGTTGTTGGGGTCACTACAGTGCGACAGGAGACATATTTGGTTCTTCATAGAGATCTTACAGGTTGAATTTTGTTCTCTGGCACCGCGTTGAGCAACGACGCGTCTGAATCCTGTGAGCGTGTGTTGGGAGAACAACCTAAAATGAGTTACTACAATATGTATTACCATATTCTTTCACTCAGTTGGTATTGGTAGACTTAGATTGATAATCTAATAAATGGAAATAGCATATACAATTTCAGGAGCATTGCAAGACCTGCCTAGCCTATGTTTGGATCAAATTTTTCTTTGTTTTGTGGGTCGGAACACCAACGTAAAAAAAAAAATTTCTTGTATTTATTTTCTAATCATTATGTTATCAAGAAGTTTAATGTTTATTTTTTTAATGGTTATAAGTTTGAGTTGTTTAAAAATAATTAAAAAAATTATATAATTATTAAAATTAAAATTTATATAATTAATTGAGATATATATAAATTAATAAATATACATGTTAATAATAATAATAATAAATATTACTGAAAGCTTTAGTTTAATCCTAGAATATTCACGGGCTAGATCAAAAGATATGCTACGGAAACTAGGAGTGTCACTAGCTCAATCCTTATCATGTGTACAGGAAGTTATGCTTTTAGAGAATTATTTTTCATGCGCAACATAACTAAGTTCTTGAGCAGTATTGTGATTGTAAAAGATCACGCAACATAACAATGAAGTATAATTTCTATTTTTGTTCCATACTCTGTTTGTGACTTTTCTTTGCTTTCATTAGGGCATCTTCAAAGCTGACGGTAAACGAGCCAAATTGAAAATATGTTGTTCTTGGTTGATCATCATTGTTTTATGCATTTCAACAAGGATAGCATATAAAATGTCAAAATCTCATTTCTTCAACAAAAATATCATCCCTGGATGTGTTAAAAAAAATAAAATTCAAAGTCCAATTGACACAAAAAAAGTAAAATATATTAAATGATTGGATTTTCTGAAATATATACCATAGCAAAAACATTAAATTTTAATTATTTTTTAGAATCTCAATAATCTCATTACACATATTATTTAAAATTTATGTAAAAATTATCTGAAGATTAAATATTATTTTCAACTTTAAAAATTTGTTTTAAAAATGTGTAATGAATTGATTGAATATATGTTATTTATACCAACAAAAACAATGGTATTTTTTTTATTTTATTATATATCAAATATATTAAAATATAATTAATTTTTCTAAATAATTATTTTTACCATTTAAGTGTATATAAACATAAAAAAATATATTATTAAATTGACTCTTCTAATAGAATATCTCATGAAAGATGCTCTCATGAACTCTAAATATATGGTTGTTCACTTTAAAACATCCGAAATTTGAGATGCAGGTGACGTAGGGATGTATATAAATGGTGTTGAGGTATTTTTAAAGTGTGTTTTATTTAAAAAAAATATTAAAATATGTATGTTTTATTTTTTTAAAATTATTTTTGAGATTATTATATTAAAATAATATAAAAAATTAATTTAAAATAAAAAAGTTTAAATTTTTTAAATGATATTTTTAAAATACGGGATAATGCTTCCCAAAAAAGTTGGCAAATGCTAAAGGCAAAGTCGTAAAAGTTGACAAGGCTCTAAAAGCAAAATCACAAGTACCCTTCTTTCTAGGAAAAACACAAAATTCAAGCGTCCACTAGACTGTGCCCGTTTGTCTTCTTTAGACGATGCTGTCACATCTACCGACTACCGTTTCACTTTTCACAATAAGCGACGTTTCACAATAAACGTGATTGGTGGTATGGTTATAATCGTTATTTAAAATTTATTTTAAAATATATTAAAATAATATTTTTTTATTTTTAAAAATTATTTTTGACGTGTAAATTTAAAAATATCAATATACAAAATAAAAAGATTTCCAAACTTTGTTTGAAATGTAAAATCAAACGGCAAAGCACAAAGCACAAAACGCAACTAAAATTTGTCACGGAAAAGTAGGTTATGGGCAGGTAACCTTTCATTCGGAAATCTCAAGACGTTGTGCGTCTTCTTTTCTCTTTGTTCAATTTTTGAGTTCTGGAGCACTATTTACTTTCCCTATCATTGACTCATGCTTGGACGGCCTGGATTTATTTTCCTCCCTTCCATAAAGGGTACCCTTTTCCTTGATTGACTTAACAGTTACCCCCAATCCGTATGATGATTTTGCGTGGCATTAATTTTATCCAGCCATCAGACTTCTTAATTTCTCTGTTCTTGTTTCTCTCGATATTGAGACCTGTTTATTTTTTAATTTTAAAAATATTTTCTATATTAATTTTTTGGTATTTTTAAATTGTTTTAGTGCACTGATATAAAATTATTTTTTTAAAATTATTATTTTAATATATATTTAAATAAAAATTATTTTATAAAATAATAATAATTATATTCCAAACAACATGATCACAAACAACAATAATGAATGAATGACTATTGATGGCATTGTTTTTCACTGTTATTGGTTCTCCATGCTATACATTCACGTCTTACTTATTTTATGATGCTTAAAGCATGCTGTTTACATGAAGCTTCAGAATTCACAATTACTTGTCTTAGAACACAGCGTAAATTGTAAGAGATATTTTTTTGGTTTATTAAAGGGGTGCTGTTGAGTATGGTAATGAATGATTGATTTTTAAAGTGTTTTTATTTAAAAATATATGAAAGTAATATTTTTTTATTTGAAAAATTATTTTTAATATTAATATATTAAAACGATTTGAAAACATTAAAAAAATTAATTTAAAATAAAAATAAATAAATAAAATTTTATTTTTTTAAAATAAAATTTTAAAACATAAAATAAATATGCTTTAAAAATAATTTATCTTATTCATGATCGAAAAGCCAAAAATGTTCAAGATTTGTTTCTTAATTTTAACATTTTGTTTGGCATAAAACACGTTTTGTAATTGTGTCAAGATCTCATTGGTGATAATATATTTGTTCTGTAAACTACAAATGGAAAACCCTTCATATCAATTATTATCTCATTGGTGATAATATATTTGTTTTGTAGGATATGTGATTTTGTTTTAATGCTTTAGATGAGTTTGAGAGTGAGGCGAGATTTGAAGGTTTTTTTTTTTTATTGGAGATACAATTAATTTAAATACAATCTACACCGAATTAAATTCTACAAATAATTTTTTTTTGTTTTGTTTTTGTTTTTGGTTTTTGGACCCATCTAAAAGTCTAATCTCGCCTCACCAAACCGCACTCCCAACTCCCAAGAGACACTTTTATTTGAAAAGCTCTCAAACCTTAGCCCATTTAAGCCTTCTATTCTTTATCTGGCAACCATCAATTAGTTCTGATTCACCATGGCCAAAATCTCCACAAATGCCACTAGTTCCTCCGTTTTTCTCTTCAACATTATTATTCTCTTCTCCTTGACCCTTGTTACCGTAAAGTCTGACAGTTTCTCAGGACACTTTTCTCCAAAAAAATTAGGCCTCAAACGGGAGAAACTAAGCCACCTTCACTTCTACTTCCATGACATAGTCGGTGGAAGAAACCCAACTGCTGTTCCAATTGTCCGAGCAGCCATTACTAAGAAATCCTTCTCATCATTTGGGCTAGTCACAATGATGGATGACCCTTTGACCGTAAAGCCCGAGATCGGCTCAAAGCTTGTAGGAAGAGCACAGGGGATTTATGCATCGGCATCACAAAGTGAACTTAGTTTTCTGATGGCATTGAACTTTGTTTTCACGGAAGGGAGGTATAAAGGTAGCACCCTTAGCATTCTGGGGCGAAACAATGTGTTTTCCGGCATCAGAGAGATGCCTATTGTTGGTGGAAGTGGGCTTTTCAGGTTTGCAAGAGGCTATGCTCAGGCAAATACTCATGAGATTGACTTCAAAACTGGTAATGCTATTGTGGAGTATAATGTTTATGTCTTCCATTATTGAGTTGTTTTTGGTTCGTTTGGTTTTGTGTTTTTTTTTTTTTTAACTGTGAGTGTGGGTGTTAGTTTATGTATATTTATATTAATTTTTTGAGGCTATGAAGTTAAAGATTAGATAAATCTTTAATGACATTTAATCTCGTAATATAAGAGTAAATTTCAATTTCAATGTATTTTTGTATTCTTAACAGTGTTAGTCTTTGTGTGTTTTGTGTTTAAATGTATTTTAAAAGTGAATTTATTTTGTAGGATGATGATATAATATATTATAGTATAATATAAAAATAGAAGATAAGACTAATATTGTAATATATTTTTAATTAAAAATAATTTTGAAAAAGCATCTAATCTGCTGGATGCATCATGTTTATGGCTGGCACAGTACTTTTTAGGTCTCAATTAATAAACAGTATGTCTTGATGGGCCAAGACATTTGTAAAGAGAACGAGGATGATGTAGTGCTGACACCTTTTTTTTCAGGATATATTGGTCATTCAGCATAGAAATTAAAAAGAAATGATGATATGTTTTAGTTAAATAATATATTTTTTAATATCACAGATTACATGTTAGAATGGTAATATTTAATTAATGTTTCAGTTTATAATCATGATATGTAATAGATTTTATGTTTTCGAATCGCAACAATTAATCAATATTGTGTTTTAAAATTATGAAATAAATTAAATATTACAGTTTTAAATTGTCACATCAGTTAAATTATAGTAATCTTATTTATTCTACAGGCACCTAAAAAATTACATCTAAAATCTTTTCTCACTTATAAATACTTGTAAAGAACTATAATAACATAACACAATAAATTTTTATATTTTATAATTAGAGGTAGTTTTAAAAATTCAAATAAACAAATATATATATATATATATATATATCTACAAAATAAATTTTAAATATTTAAATAATATAATATTATAGTAATTGAAATATCAAATATATCAATATAACTCATTTATTTATCTATATTTATATCATTTACTAGATGGTTTGGGTTTATCAATAACAAGATTGCATCCTACTCTTTGCTTGAGTGGTCCTTTTCTTTTCCATGATATTATCAAGAGTTGACTTTTCTTTACGGATATCAAGTTTGTTATGATAAATATTAAACCATTGAAACATATATGTGTTTACTTCATTTTTTTGGTCAATATTATAAAATATATATGTAGTTTCTTGACTTTATCATAGCAACAAACCAATCTAATATTAACCAAAAAAAATAAATGTTAACTTAAAAAATCAAAAAATAGATCTCAAATTATATTAATTCTGAAAATATTTGATTATTTATGATATTTTGAATTTATTAGCCATATTGCTCGTATAGCGAGTAAATAGAGGTAGAAACCTATTTAAGATTCAGTGTAATGACCCGATATGTGATATTTATATTCCGAATTATATACTTTTTTATAATCACTTAATGTGTCTTTGTAAATATTTTATTGTTCTGTGCATTTTACAGAATAAATAAACTCTATAACAACTTTACTAGTTATAATAATTATTTTTATCATAATAATTTATAGCATATAACTTATTACTCATATTCATGTCAACTAAAATGCATTGTTTATAATTGAATTATCACATATGAGTAATATAGCAAACCATCTCAAAAAAGATCAATAAAATCACTATGTTCCTATGTCTACACACTTGGTTGAGCTATATTACTCACTCAGATTGAGTAATGCAACAGTTTGTCTAAGTGCCCAACTAAATTTTTTTTACGGCTACTTTAAACTATAGCTGGAACACATCACATTCACAGCATCTGAACATAAGATCTCCACTCAATATTTTTTCTTGATGTAAATCAGGGCTAAGTACCCAACAAAATTCAACGAGGAAACGTAAACTCAATAAGATCAAGGTACAAGATCATGTACAAAGCTCCAAGATGTTCATTTAGAATCCAATTGGTCCTATCTAGAGGATTCATAGCTAAACTAAAATTTGCTAACTAATCTGCTGCTTGATTTGCCTTGCGATAAACATGTTGGACTTTGATCTTCCACTCATGATCTAGCAGTTTCTTTGCCTTGGTGATGAGTGTGTCATTTGATTCCATCGTGATAGAAACCCATGTGATAGACACCCGTGTGATGAGATGAACCACCAGTTTGGATTTCTCCACTCATTGCATCTTGAATATTGGAAGCTGCTTGACGGCGATGTTTGATTTTAATGGTTTTGTTTATATGTGTAGATTCTTTTTCAGGGACCGTGACTAAAAATCACTAGCCAGCTAACCTTTGTTCTTTCTTACGTTCTTTTTGTTGGAATATTTGAGTTAATGAAAATGGTGGGCAAATATAACAGCAAGGTTATCAAATTAACACATTGAAGGAGACTAGAAGGAATGCAGTTTATCCCCAAACGAAATATGTCTTTAACTGATACTTTGTTACTTGAAATCGCAAAAATGACTTAAAATTAAGACATGCACGACATGTAGTCAATATTGTGGATGATTAATAAAAATAATCAAATTAAAATTTTATAAAATATCAAAAATAAAATCAAAATCAATATAAACTAGTTCAAACCAATCAGTTTCAATTATTTTATATTAAAAATCAAAACTTGGTTTTGTTCATTTTGGTTTAGTTATTTTATATTAAAAATAAAAAAATTATATTGTTTTTTAGGTATTTTTAGAATTTTTTAATAGGCTTGGTTTCTGTTTGGTTTGATTTTTTTATTTTTTAGTTCGATTCAGTATTGTTTTTCAGTTTCAAACCTACGAAGCCAAAACTGAAACCAAATCAAATATTTTTTTAAATATTTAATCTGTTTTTTCATGTTTTGATTTTTTTGATTTTTTTTTAAAATTTTCTCAGTTTAATTGATTTTTTAGTTTTTTTTTTCTCATTCCTAATCAATACCAACAAGAAGATGGATTGATAACACTAAAAAAAGAAAAATATTGATAAATTAGTTATACTAAAACATGTTAATCAAAGGAGATTAATTTTTTATTTATCAATAATTTATTTAAATCATATTTATGTTTTATGTTAAAGAGTATATGTTGTAGATTAAATAAAATTCCACCAAAGTTTTTAATTCTAAAACTGATTGATAATTAATTTGACATTAAATATATTTATTAATCATGTTCTTTATATACTTTTTCAATACCATCTACAAACAAAAACATATTTCACCCTCTTTGCAAGTCTAAAAAAATAATATTGCATCTATACATATATTTCATCCGATTCTGAAAATTTCGTATGAGAGATAAATATAGAAAAAGATTTATGAATTTAAAAAAAAAAATTAAAAAACATGAAAAAAATCTTTTATGTAAATAAAAAAAATATTTTCTTGAAAAAAAAAAAACTTGTACGCAAAGCAATGGAATCCTAAGTTGGACAAAGTTTTAAGGCTTCTTTTGAACTTTAAAATACCAATACTTTATACAACGTACTTGGATTTTTCAACCACAAAGGCTATTAATCTTTTTCATACTTGCATTTTCCAGTCCCTATTCTAATTTCTTAGTTACATAATTAAGATATCACTCCATCCCGCACTCCTATAATATTGAATTAAATATATTAAAATATTAGTCGAAGTCTAATGTTATTGAAGTATAGAGTATGTTTTGAGCATACAATCATTAGCAAAGAACATATTACTACCTCATAAATAACTTATAACCATCACATAGAGAAGAGAGAAAATATTTTTAGAGATATTTACTTTATTATTACTCTCTAAAATTCAATACTTTTTATTTTTCAAAGATATCTATTTAGCTGATAATTTTAAGAAGTATTTTATATGAATTCAATACTTTTTATTTTTCAAAGATATTTACTTTATTATTTCAAGAAGTATTTTATATTAATTTTATGTATTTATAAAATTAAATATTTTTTTTCTTGTTATTCAAATTTAAAAAAGTTAAAAGAATTAAAACAAACTATATAACGTCTGTAGCGTCTCGTAAATGATCAAAACCGAGACAAGACCAAATTTACACCATTATGCAACATTGTATATAATTACACTTGAGGTTACCCTCACCACACTTCAGATAACCATGGCCAGAACTCTAACATAAGTCCTTATCTTCCTCTTTCTCTCCACTATTCTCTTCCCCATCACCCCTGCTACCGCGAGACCTGACACTTTCTCAAGAAACTTATCTCCAAAAAAACTAGGCTTCAAGCGGGAGAAACCAAGCCACCTTCGCTTCTACTTCCACGACACAGTTAGTTGGACAAATCCCACCGCTGTTCCTATTGCCCAAGCAGCCACGACAACCAAGTCTTCGACAGCATTTCGGCTGGCTGTAAAGATTGATGATCCATTGACTGTAAAGCCGAGGTCAGCTTGAAGCAAGTAGAAGAGCACAAGGGATTTATCTCAATTTTCCATTTCTTAAGACAATGCTACAGCTTCTGTTTTGTCTAAAAACAATACTGTCGAATTATGGCATTGTCGTCTAGAACATCCATATTTTCCTTTCTTGTCTTTAGTCATGCATCCTGTAATAAAGAACATTATTTTCATTATCAATGAAAAACCTGCTATATTTATCCCTCAGCAAAATTTCACCGAATACCTTTTTCTTATAGCAATCATCAAGCTTCGCAATGTTTTAAAATTGTGCATTGTGTTCTTTAGGGACTGTGCTCAATACCCTCATCAAATGGTTTTAAAAATTTTCCTACTTTAGTCGATTGTTTTACTCACAATACATGGTTAAACCGTCTCCCCACCAAGGCCAGCACTAAGCTTAACGTAGAATCCTTTTTCAATTTGGTTGAAAACCAATTTAATTGTAAAATTACAATCCCATGAAGTGATAATAAAAGGGATTTCACATGAAAATTTTTTTTCATGCCAAAGGAATCATTCACCAAATCAATTTTGTCAAAACATCTCAATAAAATAGGATTGTAGAACAAAAACATTAACTCCTTCTCGACATTGATTGAGCCCTAAGATTTCAAGCCAAACTTCCACTTCAATACTAGAGTAATTGCGGCTTAATAGTCACGTACCTCAATAA